TGCCATCGTTCATGTTCTCTTTTATAATAACATTAATAAGCAACCTGCCATCGTTGATGTTCTGTTTTGTTCTAACGTTAATAAGTAACCTGTCATCGTTCATGTTCTGTTTTATAATAACGTTAGTAAGTAACCTGCCATCATTCATGTTCTGTTTTATATTAAAGTTAATAAATAACGTGCCATCGTTGATGTGCTGTTTTGTTCTAACGTCAATAATTAACATGCCATCGTTCATGTTCTGTTTTATATTAACGTTAATAATTAACATGCCATCTTTCATGTTCTGTTTTATAGTAACGTTGATAAGTAACCTGTCATCTTCATGTTTTGTTTTATATTAATGTTAATAAGTGGCATGCTATCGTTGCTGTTCTGTTTTTCCCACAGAGATGCTCGGTGAATGTAAGGACGATTCAACATATGAACCTTTTGAGGATTCCTTTATTTGTAAATGTAAAGAAAGTGGCTTTTATTACGATTACAAGGAAGAGAAATGTTTGGGTAAATATAGTTTTATATTTGTTTGTGGGTTCGCATATTATTAAACAAAGTGATGTGTATGAAACATTCGTTATTTCTAATCTATAAAAACCTACTTCCTGTTATGGTATTACCAAATGACATGAACGATGACAGGTTACTTATCAACGTTACTATAAAATTTTTTATATTAATGTTAATAAGTGGCATGCTATCGTTGCTGTTCTATGTTGAATCGTCCTTACATTCACCGAGCATCTCTGTGGGAAAAACATTTTTATAGATTAGAAATAACGAATGTTTCAGACACATCACTTTGTTTAATAATATGCGAACCCACAATCAAATATAAAACTATATTTACCCAAACATTTCTCTTCCTTGTAATCGTAATAAAAGCCACTTTCTTTACATTTACAAATAAAGGAATCCTCAAAAGGTTCACCTACTTCCTGTTATGGTATTACCAAATGATTTTATATAACAGGTTACTTATTAGCGTTAATATAAAACAATACATGAACAATGGCAGGTTACTTATTAACGTTAATATAAAAGAGAACATGAACGATGGCAGGTTACTTATTAACGTTAATATAAAAGAGAACATGAACGATGACATGTTACTTATTAACATTAATATAAAACAATACATGAACGATGACAGGTTACTTATTAACGTTAATATAAAACAATACATGAACGATGGCAGGTTACTTATTAACGTTAATATAAAAGAGAACATGAACGATGACATGTTACTTATTAATGTAATATGAAACAGAACATGAACGATCGTAGGTAAAACCGAACATAAACAATGAACGGTTACACTCTGACATTCTGTACGTCAGTATTTTTATAAAACTATTCAATTGTTATAGCAGCTGTTCAGACACGTGTACTGTAAACAAACGCCATATTCCAATTGTTTAAAATAACTGTATATTGTTTCAAGTGTTTGTGCAGCAGTTTAAGCAACAATAATACACTTGGTAATTTTTGTCGTCGTCTAAAATTGACAATAACAATCGTTCGTGTATCTTAATCTTTAGAGTGTCCTTGAATGGATTGAATGAGTTTCTGCGTGAATTAAACCAGCAGATGAAAAGTATAAATATGTCTAGTCGAGTTGATTAAACTAAAAGTAGAATAGATTAGTCGATTGTTAACTGAATTAAACCAATATATATGATGGGAAGTGTAATTGTTATTTGAACTAAACCAATAGCTGAGAAAATTAATCAAGTTAATAATTGGATTAACAATCAAACCAATAGCTTACTCGCTTTAAACAGACAGATATGTTTATTAAAGAACCTTCCATTAGTTGTCAAACAAATCAATTGATTGGTAACTAAAACATTTCAAAATTGAGCCGAATAATTTAGTTGTTAATTGATTTAAACAATAGATTAGTAGATTAACCTATGTCTATATATTAACGTACTGAACTTTCAACTTTGTTGAACCAAAATGGCGACTTCACATCGACAATAATCTATATCAAACTCATTTATAACGCAGTCTTTATATATAATGTCGTTCATGTTCTGTTTCATATTACA